GGCATAATGTCGAAACGTCGAAAACAGTTATTGCCCTATTTGGCTACTGTGCCGGGACTTTTTGTTGGCCAAGTGAGAATTCAAACGCCGAGTAGATATGGCGGCAACCTCTCGATACTTAATGAAAAGCAAGATGCTATCTTAAACCTCCCTTTCTGTAGAACGTAGGAAAATTGTTGTCTAATATGGCTGTAACTCAATGGTTTCATCCATATCTTGCCTGTCTTTGTGTTTCCCGACTCGGTATCTAGGTTTTCGAGGCCGTTTGCTGATCGTGGGTTGAACAAGAGTTGTACAATCATTCCTTCCTCCTGTTTGGGGCGTACACCGACGACCTGTAATATACCACCGAATTGACCGAGCTGTTTGAACCGACTGAATTCACTTGACGTGGAGATCCATGCTGTGATCCGTTTGAACGCGTGTCCGTCAAGGTGGCAACTTTTTTCTCCCTCGCAAATGCTGACATTCCCACCATCGTCGCTCGCGGCAACACCTTCTCCCCCTCTCTCACTCTACGTCAGCGTCCCTGCCTGACTGTTGTTAAGTAGGCATGGTGGTATCGTCTCCATTCAGTTGGAACATATTACTAAGGTAATTGAATCCGCCTTCGTATATCAGTAGCCGCTGTTCTCAATGCTAAACCCCTTTCTGCCAATAGGTTATTCCGTATTTTTGTCGAAGTTCTCTTCAGTCTTATTCACCCGAATGAGTACTACGGCATGTCTAACGGCTCCGCTTAGTCCCTACTCATTTGGCGACCATCCCATGGGCTTTGCATTACCCCCTGTGCGTGCCGTCCTCGGCTTCACCGGTGGCTACTGACCCGCTATTGAATCATTGCTTTGTATCGACCACGCCTTTCCTTCCTCATCATACCTTGTTCCACTGGCAGAATGCGGTCAAGACGCCGTCTGGTGTGCTTGTCCCGGCCTAACACACTGACTACAGGGACATTTCTTCCATGCAGCATGTATGGCTTGTTTTTGCTTAAGAATAACAGCTTCGGACAGTCGGGAGGCCACACAGTTTTACGCTCACACGCACACAGCAGGGGGGAGGGGAGAGAAGTACGAAGACACACAAGCACCCACCCATACACACTCTCAACTGATTTCTTCGGGACAGCAACAGGCTGACTGTGGTTGACGTTTTTAACAACAATGACAGCAACATTGGCTCTCTCTCGAGTGCTCATGAAGTCGTGCGAGAAAAAGACAGCACACTTGCTGTTCACCCTGAAACGACCAATCAGCTTTTGTCTAACCATTGCCCACAAGAAGAACGTATGACTGCGCACGACACTTGACAAAACTTTTACCGACTACTCCCAACTGCCAGTGGAGAGCTTTACTGACGCTGAGTTCCGCAAAACGACGATAAAATTCTACCTCTTAACATGGTAAACCGGTTATTATTCTAAATTGCCGAATGTACGCATTTTTTTTACTCAGGCTGGCTTGTCAAAGGCGGAAGTCGATGGTAAGTCCCGGCGCGGCAGACGCTTTTTGTCTTTCAATTTCCAAAATGGGTTTGATTCGTGTTTCTCCTCCCCTCTGGCTCTTCATTGTGTTCTGTTTTTATTTCATCTGCCCTTGCCCAGCAGGCTGCACTCAGTCCTATCTGATGGTTTCCAGAATTTAGATTTGTGTTCGAACTTTCACCTACTTTTCCCGTCTGTTAGGTCCTTGCTTCAAACTCACTGATTCTAGACGCATCAGTTAATTTATTAATGTTTAGATATCAGGGAAGTGTTCGACCTCTTCGACTTTTGGGACGGCCGAGATGGCATGGTGGATGCAAGCAAGGTACCGGATCTCCTTCGCTGCACTGGAATTAATCCCACAAACTCCATCTGTCTGAAGAATGGGGCATGTAAAAATCCAGGTAAGTAGATCTGTCTAGCAACTATGGAGTACAGCGTGCATCTAGGACGGAGTATGTCACAAACTTAAGGACCAGCCGGAGTAATTGTGGACACAACATACACAAATGCTATTGAATAACTAACAAAATCGTTCTTGCATTTGCGGATAACTGCCATCTATCATAATGGACTTTTTAGGATCGTTTAGGAATATCCGTTTACACCTGACTAACTTAGTAGACGAGATAATTCCTGACGAAAGAGAGGAAGATTCAAGGACTTACCTGACTTTCATTTCTCTTCTTAAGCTGGCAGCCGGAATCACGACAGAGATGCGTGCTGCCAGCCTAGCACTTCATGGATAGTTTTCTCCGTCGTTCAGCAGCTAGGTGCTTACTTTAAAGTTTCACTAATTTAAATAATTCCCCTATATTTCAAAACTGAAAAGTCATCCTAAAAACCATATCGTCAGTTTTGTGCAAGTAATAAAACAGTTTATGAAGTCATTAATAAAAAGATAGTTAGTGTATTATTCCTGAATTTCAGCTTATCCATCTGAAAAATTCAAAATGCGTACTTGGAAGCGGCTTTTTGCAAACTGTCTATTTCGCTACTGGTTTTAGTACTCTTTTAACAAACACTATTTCATGCATTTTCTTAGGATGTCTTAGAGAAGATCCTTATAGACTGTGTAAGGAAACACTTGCAGTTACATATGAAATCAGTAAAATCAGGTCGACAACTTTACCATTACAGAGAGTGGCAAATTTGCAAATATTGCTAGAGTTTATACAAAATATCTCAATGCCCATTACCTTCAAAAAATTAAAAATTCACTGGAATAGGGGAAATAAGTCTTTAGGACAGTTGCATCAATGATAGAACGTAGCAATAAATAACCCGCTTATAGACTAATTAGGCCACCCTTAGCGGCATTTAAGGAATTATACTCTGCGCTCACTAGCGTCTTGTTGAGCGCAATGACAGGATCACACCTTCGGCATTTTTTCACAAACAGTTTTGATGGTCTTAATGATGCGTTGGTTCGCAACCCAGTTGGACATGAGATTTCTACGCAGCCTTCATAAGACAAATTTTTCCTCATATACAGCACAGCATATGTGAGTGCGGATGCAAATATAATAGTGAACGAAATATGTAACACCAAAGAGGTATCATTGTTTTACTTCCTGGAGGCTATAATTGTTTAAGGGGAGTCATTCTTTCAGAAAAATGGCGAACTATAAGTATCTGGCTGGATAAGGTGTAACAGTGAGGTGAGAAATAGAATGTCTGTGTGAAAATAAGGATAGGACAATGCGATCACTCTATGGCTACACTGTACAGGACTAATTATTGTGGATGATCTTTCAGGCATAAAGTGGAAACTTGGTTGTTCATTGTCACACTAGGAAGGGAAGTGTGCTAATACATGCACAGATTATCTTCCACTGCCGGTTCCGCTTTGAGTTTGTGCTAGTTCACTTGGGTGAAGATGTGGCGGATTCGATTTGATGAATATCGCCTTAAAGCCTTCTCGACAGGTACTAGACTAAGTCAAAAGCGCGCTTTAGTAAACGTAACCGTTGTCTTCCACGAGCACTACTTTCTCTGGACAGTAGAGCTGTTCTCTGTGTCTGAAGACCTCAGGCACTGTTGAAATTTCGAAATGGGAGCAGTCATTAGTAGGCAGGTTTTCCAAGTCGAATATTCCAAGCACTAACATTAAGCAGAGAACATCGACATTTTTATGCAACGAAGCCGACTTATTTGAACAAAACATTTGCACTATGCGTTAATTGCCTGCTAGATAGGACTGTTGATTCGGGTTCGATCTTATGACCTGTAAATTTTATGGCAAAGAAACTGCATTTTCAGTCATATGTGGATTTCCTACCGGAAAGATGGTTGGATTATCAGGAATTCTCAAACTCCCTAGGCGCCTTTACCATCTAAACTTTAGTAACATCAGATACATTTATTTCGCCTTAAGCCTGACTGCAGATACTGGCCTCCATCAACAGTGACGAATTCTTTAATCGAACCTTATTCACATCATCGCATAACTCATTTGCAGCTTATGAAACGTTAAACAGCTCAGACTTCCATAGTTCGTTAGTAAACTGTGATGCCCTAATACATTTTTTGAAAGAAATAGCGCGAGTCCTAATTTATGCGTCTTAGAACGGTAGTGCAAGCTGGTAAAGAACCCCTGATAGTGTATGTATTTGGATATAGAAACGCTTGACCGCTACCCACAAACTTACAATACACTATGGATATGGCAGCGACAGAACAACTGCCATGAATGGAAGTTACCTACCAATCCACAACCAATGCCACAGATATAGAGGATGGTTCCGCATGGCTCTGAATGCGGGCGGTAGGTCTGGTGGATGATTAAATTCATCTCGATTTCAAAAGCCCGACCTTCAGTTAAAAGGCATTTGCGGACTTTGTGACCACACTCTTTTGCATAGAAATGCATTCTGAGAATTCTGTGGAGCTTGAATGGACCCTGTAGTTGATTTCGACGGCAAAGTGTTCATCTAGTCAATTTTCCACTAAAGTGGCGAAAAACATAAGACCAAAGAGTGGAAGGGCGATTACACTAACTTGTCTCAGTCATTTCGTTGCGGCCTAATTTGAGATCAACCCAGTGTCGGAAACGTGCACCTGTGTACCTTTTGTCGTTGCTTCATGTGAATGAACATTTTTAGAACGTTCCAGCTCCTGTTAATCCTTCAAAGTCCACTTACTTCCATTGGGCTGACGACTCTTTCCAGGCAAAGAACTGAGGTAAGACAGCTAGATTTTGTTTCTTACTATTTATCTAATAGATGGCCAGCTTTCACGCTGCGGCAGGGATCTTTGTTCTAAATGTAAGGTGAAGTACTTGAGTAAGAAGAGAGTGGGGAGTTTATCAATGTTGATGAGTAACGAAATTCGTGGGTGATCATCGCAGGCTCGTTAGTTCCTGCTCTGCATCAACATAAAGTATAGTGACGCCATAAGGTTTCGAGAAATGCTGCTTCGACTTCACGCATTCCGAAGAAGTTTGGTCTGGTGGTCGAGACTCCTTGCGATCGTAAATCTCAAAGACGACGGTCTGCAACTCCATGTTTTAGGAAACGGGTTGGGCTGAAAATGGTTACATTCTCACTGCATCTGATGAGTTTTCAGTTGACAAAAGCTGTTCTTCTTTCTGTTCGGTCAATGTCCGAATCAACTTAAAGAGCATGATGTTTTCAGGCTGTCAGAATAAAAGGAATCATTTCTACGGGGGTTATTGTCTAGGACCGTGTTTAAAGCGTTTTTGGCTCCCGCTGATCATAGTTAAAATTAAGATATTTTGATATCCAACGCGTAAGGGCATATTTTCCCCCTGGGTCTTTGTCGGTAGGTATACAGTACGTCCTGGGTACAGTTGCTTAAATATCTTCGGTGACTTCCGAGTTCCACTGTGAGTCGTAAATTCGTTATTAGTGAGATAACGATTTGAATCAACGTGGGTAACTATAAGATTCCATATCGTTCTTTCCGTAGGACCTGAATATTTCGGTAAAAATGAGGTTTACGGAGGGACTTCAGTGGATGGCAAAGGCGACATGTGCACGAGTTGGACTATAGTGAGGGGAATTCGTGAAAAATCAGCCGCAATATGCTTTAACTATCTCGTCAAGAATCTGTTATGACTACTGATGGCTGGATCAGTGACTTATCTTTAATATAAACCGATGCCTTTCCATGCCTCAACACCACTGGCTTCTGAGTACCGACTGAATCAGGCTACACGCGAGTTTATGTCGTTGGAAGACACACTCGTCCGGCTCGGTTTGCTGACAAAAGCGGTCACTGGAATTTTTCCGCTGCCCTGGGCACAGCTTTGTGGGGTGGAAGATGAAAGTCTAGTGCCAGCAGGACAGTACGTCGCTTTACATGCCGCCGCCAAGCCGGCAAAATCCTCTTTTCCATCGTAGCATACAATGCTCTCTACGTCTCGGCAAGAGTTTTACGAAGTGGCTTTAAAAACTTAAATCAAAAATAACCACTTAGTTAGTATGAATTTTTACCATTGGTTTTAGATGTCCTTATAAATGCAAACATAATATATAGGAAGCATGCAAAAAATGACTTTTTCTGCTCATTTTGCGATGACTTTTGTCCTCCTCACATTTCCCAAATGGATATAGGATAACTTTGGGTTTAAAAAGTTTCTAATTATGAAATGATTTTAGCCTATGAATCGTCTGTGCAAGCAACATCCTATCTGCCCATTTACTAGTGCAGCCTTTGAAGTATACAACATAGTCCATTTCCATTCCAAAATCTTATGAGCTCTACGTGCGATCTCCTTAAAAAACTGGAGAGACAGATGATTTTCCCTAAATGGATTGTGTACAGGTTTTTTTATTTTGAACACTGAAATTAGGTGAAACGGCAGGTCGCGTTCAAATTTTTCGCCAATTGCGAGACCTTTTCGTACTGTAGGATGCCCATGCTTCGGGCAGAAAAAGTAAGAAAACTTTGGTAAGATGTGATTATGTAGCTCCACCTAATGGACACAGTACTGTTGGGGTTGGGATTAGGGGTTAGGGTAAGGGGTTAAAGTTAGGGGTTAAGGGTAGAGGTTACGGTTAGGGGTTAGGGCAATTATTTTCGACCCCTCACAGTACAGCGCGCATTCCTAATAGCTTTTCTTTTGCATACCATTACTTGCCCTCGTTGCCTGCGCGTTTCCCGGTTCCTCTATTATCACCGATCCCGTGGTACAAATGGCTGCGGTTTGTTTACTTCATGTGGGGCTGCATAACCCCATCTGACCAAAAGTTTAGTTAACTACAATATGAGTGCAAAAAGACTGTCTTGCGCATAGATTAAATATAATGCATTTGGACTTACAAGCGCACTGAATGTCAAGGGACAAAACTCATGGTACTTAAGTTGTCAATATTTAGTGAACATGTTTGCTGCGGTCAGCAGGAAATACGTCAAACCAAAAGACACCATCCTCGTGTGAGTTGAATATTTCGAAATTATGCCCGCCAGGTTGAAATAGAACTTGTACATTTGGGCACGCTGTTAAGGCTTTACTACGTCTCCATTGTAGGCGTGTGAACTTTGAGTGAGCCGATTACGGGATGCATGCCTAAGGAATGACATTTAATCGAAAACCATGAAACGATAATAACTGAATGACACTGTAAGCATTTTTGGAAATCAGCTGGACAGTGAGAAATGCGTTGTGCACTAATTAAACCTATGAAGACATTCCCACAAAAAGATTCTTGCACGATAAAATTTATGACATAATTTGACAGACAGATCCTCTTCTTCAGATCATCAGATCAGATTTATTAAGGGAAAGATAGGCGAGCGAATGAAGTGATCAACGGCATATACTCATTCCGAAGTCTCACATTATGGACTGGTGACTTCGTCTGGGAGGTTTTCGTTAGATTCCTAAGTTTTCTTTGGGGATTTAGGTTATCCCATGACGTCGCCTCTGCGCTGCCCTGCCAGAGGAAAAGGCCCGGTTTAAAAACAAACGAAACCAGAGCATCTGCTTGTGACACGAAAATTACGGGGAATACAACTTCGTAAGGAGAAACCCACTGACAAGTGAAGGAGTGGGTGTGGGTGAAATGGCTTTCAGTTCGCAAGTCGGAGTGGATTTCCCTCGTTTCGGTGTGTTTGACTCAAACTTAAAACAAACGAGCCTCATTTAAAATGGAGGACGCCATAAAGATTCCAATGTACGGGGTGTTTTCCAGTGTCGTGATAGTTAAACACCGTTTCGCTCTTGATTTCCTTGATGACATTGCCAATCTGAATTCCACAGTAATGCGCTACATTTACGAATTTGCCTTTGCAACCAGGTCTAACGGCGTTTATTTAGTGTGTATTGTAAACTAGGAAACTGACCTTGTAACTTCAAATGATTCAGAAACCATTACCAGTCTAATAAAATTTCAGCCCACTGAGAACGACCAGTAATATTACAACACCCAATGATTTTACTCAAGTCAGGAAACTTAAAGTGAGAAGTGTATGTTCGCAACAAATGTCAGGCGTCCGTAGTCGTTAATGTATTGCTTATGTGTAACCAGCAATTGCACCTGCCTTTTTAAAGGGGAAATTCAGTACAAGTTTGAGGAGTTTCTTTCGGTCTACCAAGCAATTCTGCGCGACAGACCGAACGTCACAAAGGCCATGTTTACAGAGTTATTCAGGACCTTTGATCGGGAGTCTCAGGGCCTCATCGATGCGGCACAGTTGCGAGCAGTGCTCGTGACCTATGGTATGTATACCTCCTAAATAACGTTTTTTAATTGTATTAATGACATGCAGCCATGGGTAATACTTACAGATTGAAGACTCGACTAACGGTTAAGACTCCTGTTCAGACTATACTGCATGTCCATTTCTGTGAATTGATTCTGAAGAAGATACTTCTCTCCAGAGCTTAGGCATGCTATCCATAGTCTCCGTAAACCAGTACTGCAGTTCTTTGCATTTATCAACTCTGTGCTCGTAGCCGCCGCCGACGCTGCCGCTGCAGGCTTATTGAAAAATTCAAACTTTTAAACCCTTTATCTCTTGGCGTTTCAGGTGAACGCTTGTCCGAAAAAGAAGTGGACGAAATATTTGCAGCTACGGGAGTCCAGCAAGAAGCAGACGGAAATATTAAGTATGAAGGTAGGCTTTCAAAAGTTGTTTTCTGAAAACACAAAACAAAGATTACTAGTTTGTAATTTTGATAAGCATCTAACGATGAAATGTAGGACAACCAGACACATTTTGTAAAAATGCAAATGAATGCCTCTAGCGCAATTCGGCCAAATGTGAGAAACGTGGTAATATTGATAACGACAGCCAGCAATAAGCAGGAGTGCATTACATACGGGACGAGGGAAGAGAAACCCGAGAATTAGAGATGTAATGAAGCGTGGAGCAAAAGAAGTCAGTGCAGTGGTGTTGCCGGCGATTGTCTACCGCAGGTTTTAGTGAATGTGCATGTGGCCTAGAAGGCCCGTGCAATGGGTGAATGTATGAGGACAATGTCGGCCTTTAAGTCGAATGCGTCTGGCGCATATTGGTACTCCAGTCACTAGTTCGTTGGCCTCTATACGATGGATTCGCAAGTGACCGACCTGGCTAACGTGTGAGAACAATGTTCGGGGACAGTGGGGACAGGAAAAGCCGATGGTGTCAGGATCGGTTTCGGTGGTGGCGGCAGTGGTGAAGCTGATGATGGTGGCGTGCTGGACGGCGGGATGAGATTTCAGCTGGGTATTATGGATGGGCAAGATGTGCTAGGTGTGTCGAGACTGTGGTGAGTTCCGCTCTCGTGGATAAACATGTGACCTAGAAGACCCATGCAGTGGGTGAGTGTGCAGGGGCAGTGTGGACAGTGAAGGTGGCTGCGGCGAGTGTTTGTTGGTGCTCCAGGCACAGGTTCGCCAGTCCCTGTGCGATGGATTCGCAAGTGACCGACCAGGCCAATGTGTGAAATGAAGGCGCGACCGCAATGAGGACAGGTATAGACGCAGTTCACGTCGATGGTGTTGGCGGTGATGAAGTTGATGTTTGTTGATGTTTCAGGATTGTTGGCAGTGGTGGTGGGTAGAGGAGCCGCCACAGCGGATGCTTGGGCAATGGATGACAGCGTTGGGGATTCAAGAGAGCAGACAGTTCTGACTATTAGCATGGAGGACGAGGTAAGGGTGGACAGGGGGAAATTAGGTGTTGTCGTTCTGGTGTCGCAGTTGATTCGGACATGCCCAATAACACCAATTGCTGCTTAGAACATCCGCGGACATCGTGCATGGGTCGGAAGCGGTTAAATGTTGGCATTGCGTGGTGGGGCAGTTGAGATTTGCGAGATTCGTATTTGGCTTTGGCAACGGTGACGCGGTTGGCCTAGTAGATTACTGTGCTTATCTTCACTGCTCTCCTCCAGGTAGGTTGGTCCAGGGCGAGATCTTCTCAGTAGGCTGGCTTGATTAGCAGGCGCTTCAGGGAAGATTTCGGGTATCCTTTTAGCGCCGGACTTTGCCTTCCTGTCGGCGATAACCCATTGCCACATTTCCGTGAAAGAGTAGTTTGGGTAGCCACTCGTCGTTCATCTTCACAAGGCGGCCGCTCCAGCCCAATTGCAGTTGTCTCAGCACGACGCAGATGCTGCGGATTAGCCTTTGTTCCAGTACATCCATTTCCGGGATCCTTTCCTGCCAACTCACCTTTAGTATCCATGGAAAACAGCTGAGGTGGAAGTGGTTGAATCTTCGCACCTGCTTCTTCTACATCGTCCAGGTCTCCGCTCCATCCCGCAGCCTCGGCAGGATGACAGCTTTGTACATTTTCAGCTTGGTTTTGAGGTGGAGACCATGGAGATTTCAGACGGTGTTTTACAGGCGGCCGAAGGGTTGGCTGGCCTTATAAGTCCGGTGGGCCACTTCATCTTCGACAATGCTGTTGCGGGGATGGGTGCTGCCCAGAAATGTGAAGTTGTCCACGGTTGTTGAGGTGCCGTTTGCGTTGAAATGGGGTGCGAAGCAGGTAGCGTCGGGTGGCGGATGATGCATGACCACCGTCTTCTCCGTGTTGATAACCGGGTCAGAGTCCTTACAGGCTGTGTCGAAGAGATCCCCGCTCCTTTGCATGTACCCTTCCGAGCTGACGTTGAGGATGCAGTCGTCGGCAGAGAGAAATTAATGTACGGTAGTTGTGAATACACGCGACTGGAAGTGCACCCGCCGCTGATTGAGAAGTTGGGTGTCCGTCCTGTGGGCGACGCGGATCACGGGGCGTTCGTCATGGTAGGCGTCCGTTGGCATGGTAGAGAAGGGGGTGAGCGCGAGGACGTAGCCCTGCTTCGTCCCGTTGTTCATTGTGAATGCCTCTGAGACAGCTCCATTCTCTGTGACTCGCGCCATCATGCCATCTTGATGCTGATGCATCATCTGAGTGAATACTTTAGGAAAGCCAAATGTATTCAGGATTTTCTACAGTCCTTTGAGATTCACCGTGTCGGAGGCTTTCGTCAGATTCACGAAGGTAGAGTAAAGGTGAACCCGCATCTCCTGCAGTTGGCGGGCAGCTAAGCTCAGGTTAATGATTCCACGATGACGGTGGAAGTAACAATGGCTTTCCGGCAGAAGACCTTGTTCCAGATGGTTGTTCAGGTGATTGAGGAGAATGCGAGAGAAGATCCTCTCGGCGATGTTCAGCAGGGAGATGCCTCAGGCGTTGTAGCAGAATTGGTGGTCATCCTTCCGCTTTCAGAGGTGGACAATTATGGCGTCAGGGGGCGCTCACCGATCGTTCATACGGAACTCACTCGTTCCGTTGTGCCTTATGGACTCTCTCTCGAGCCCAACCAGCAGCCGAGAGAGAGAGAGAGTCCATAAGGCACAACGGAACGAGTGAGTTCCGTATGAACGATCGGTGAGCGCCCCCTAACATTGTATATTCCCGATCGAAAACCGACAAGGCAACGGGCTCGTGGCCCGGTGAGTAGAGGCGTTGACTTAAAAACCAACAGGTCGCGAGTTCGAGGCTCGGGTGTTGCACACTTCGGGCTTGGGTATGGCTGGCTGACGACGGCTAATAAGCCAGAAATGGCCATTCCAGTCTCCCTTGTCTTTGTCGGTAATACCAATTATGGCGTCCTTAAAATCCCGAGGAACTTCTTCTTGACGCCACTTCTCCTGGAAGAGCGTTGTCAGGTGTTTCTTAAGTTGGGGGCCACCGTGCTTGTCGATCTCAGCAGGGATCGCATCCTATTCGGGCGCTTCCCCGCTGGAGAGCTGCTGAACGGCCTTGATGGTTTCGTGTAGAGAAGACGGGAGATCTTAGTCGGCGTTGGTCTGCACTTGAGGCAGGCGGGCGACGGCGGCGTCGGAGATGGTGGAGGGACGGTTAAGGACGCCTCTGAAGTGCTCGGCCCATCACTGTAGAAGTTGAGTCTTCATGGTGAGAAGAGGTGTGGTGACTTTGGCTGTGGAGCTGCAGACAACCTTGATTCCGACAATGAAGTTCTACCACTCGTTGGGGCTCGCGTATCCTTGGATCTCATCGGCCTCGTAAGCCATCCGGGTGTCCTGCATATCGCGCAGCTGCCGTTGCACAAGGCGGCAACTACAGTAGAAAGAAGCTCTGTTATCATCAGTGGGGCGGTTGACTTATGCCTTGTGCAAGCAGTTGTTCTCTGTGAGCAGGTTGCTGATGGCGACGTCGTTGTCATTGAACTAGCCATGGTGCTGGCCACGTGCGTGATCAAGTACAGCCAGGGCCGTCGAATAAACCGTGTCTTGCATTTGGCACAATTTTTTTTCTCTACGGAGGCGTACTCGTCAGCAGCGGGTGGGAGGTCGGCTGGCCGTTGAACAGGCAGAGACAATAAAGCCGTAGTCAGCTTACCTGGAGGTCGCTTGCCTTGAGGTCTTCTGCGTGACTGTAGGCGAATCCTCATCTTGGAGATGACGAGACGATGGTCGGTCCACTCGTCGGCACCCTGAATCGCTTTTGTCACCAGCGCGTTCCGATGGTCTCGCCTCCGGACGAGGACATAATCCAGCAGGTGCCAATATCGCAACTGACGGTGCATCCAAGTGGCCGTCTCTCGCGCCGGAAGGCGAAAGAGGATGTTAATGAGCATGAGGCGGTGTTCTGCGCAGTTCCGTAGGAGGAACAGGCAATTATCATTGAAGTCGTCGAGACCATGGTTACCCAGCCTCCTTTCCAGGCGGCATGGTCTGTGCCGACGCGAGCGTTAAAGCCACTTGTCCGTCTTCAGCACAGTCGCCAGGAGGGCGTGCAGGTTTTCTTAGAATTTGTTCTTTGCTGCGTCAGCGCTGGTCATCGAGAGGGGGCATAGACGCTGCGGATGGTGGCGAATTTGCATCCCTTGAGAGGCAGGTGAAGGCTCATCAGGCGTTTGTTGATGTCCTGCGGCAGACAGGGCAGTCGTCCCACGATGTCATTTTGGATGGCAAAGGCAATGACCGCGAATATCCTCCCCTGGTTTAGCCCGCCGGTCGAGGCGGTTGCCGGGGTGTGGCGGCCAGGCAAAGTCTAGCTTTTGGGAGCCAAATGCGAGAGTTGGATGCTAGTTAATGGACGCTAGATGTAGTCAACACCTGCAAGCAATTGAGCATGAACCTACAAATGGACACACCTACACCCCTACGCACACGATAGCTCGATCCTCGTCATCGTTTGCCCCACGGCAAGGTGAAGCAGTCACTGTGACTTGCGCAAGAATTGGTTTGTAGTGATAGTAGATTCGCGCCGAGTCCATTGCACTTTCTCCTCCTACTCCTCCTCCTCCCCCACCCAAGCCCGGTGTCAAGACAGAATCAAGAAGGCTGGAGGCGGGGGAGGGAGCGGTTGGATAGCACGGTCGAGCCCGCACCCTTGTGTCCAACTTCACACCCTCTGGTCCACATAACAAATGACAAAGATTATAACCAACAACAAAAATGGGATGGCGGCAGGGATCTCACTGTGTGCTACATCTGCCACTACATCCCGCAATGTTGGCATTTGCTATGTTGCGCGTTCCGATAAAGCCTGTCAGAATCCGCTATGGAGCAGCGCATCTGCCACGTGACTCGTTTGGGGCCGCGCACACAAACACACACACACAAACATCTATGCATACATAGAAAATATATAATGGTAGAGGGGCGCTCACTGATCGCTCTTACCTTACAGACTCTCTTTCTCTCGAGCAAACTAGCAACCATACAGCTGCGCATGATATAAGTAGAATGCTATTACCGACAAAGGCAAAGGAGACTGGAATTGCCATTTCTGGCTTATTAGCCGTTGTCAGCCACTCATACCCAACCCCGAGGCGTGGAGCACCCGGGTTTCGAACTCGCGACCTGTTAGTTAGAAGTCCAAAGCCTGTAACCACTGAACCACGGGCTCGTTGTCCTGTTGGTTTCGATCGGGAATATACAATGGCAGAGGGTCGCTCACACGTTCTTACGGAACTCAATCGTTCCATTGTGCCTTACCGGACCCTCCACTTTCCTATAATTTCGATTCTTTAATAGCTTATTTGGGCCCATACCCGCCGATAAATGAGACCGAACTAATCGGCAGGAATTCGAGATTGTCTCCATAGAAGGTGGCCTTCAACGAAGCTAGCGGCATAATTTCGCACCGGCTGGTAACTAGATGGCAAATCGACATGGTTGTTGCCTGATTCACTCTTTGAGTGTCACACATTCCGCAGACAGCGCTAAACCCATTAATCTAAGTAAGACTGTGAAACATCAAAGAAATTCAAGCATGAAATTTAGGGAGCTCTGGGATTTCGCGGATTAGGGTGCGTACTTCAGGACGTCAGATTTCATCACAACTGGATCTCAGGAGTGATTTAATATTCTCCACCGTCAGATCACGGGGAGTATAAGAAAGGTGGACGTGGTTTGAGAAGTGCAATGACGTCCTCCAGAATGCTAATAGCTTCTTTAAATCCTTCGGAATTGTACTGACAAACTCACTTTGCTGTCATAATCAGCGTCAAAATTTTTGGATCCCATAATAACCACTTTTGCAGTTCGTATATCTCGGCACTCTAGTGTGATGCGATAGGCCGGAGGAAGGAAACATATATGAGCATCCTAAAAAGATCGGGAAACGTTCGTTTCTTTGGTTCTTGCCGTGCGCCGACCCGTTTTAAATATTATACTAATGCTCTCCACTGTCGACAATTTCACGAGTCAACTTTTTAACTGATTTGGATTCTCATGAAACATAGAACGTGCGATCCTCTTGGAAACTCCAGGCCCTTTGATGGTAGCTTGTCCTGTTTATTACGATAGTGGAGTGCTCCTTGATTTCAGACCGTTTTTCTCACCTAGCCTAAGACGTCATATAAATGCGAGTCGTGTTTCAGTCCCTTTGTGCTCGACGTGGATGATGTTAGGCGGCAGCTGCAATGAGAGGACCGCAAGATATAGCAACTTATACAAGTGTGAAGTGCTTTAACACAGGCGGGATGTTTCAGAGCTGGTAGGAAAACGCAGCAGTTTGGTCGAGAAATCTTATATCTAGTTAAACCAGTTTCTAGAAATGAACATCTCACCTCCAAAGCTTCTGATTGTGCGAGAAATTAAACTGACTAGATTTTCTTTCGTCTGCGTCCTAATTTCCCTATCGCCACCCTGGCGGCAAAAAATTGGATTCATACTGGTACACAGTAATAAAAACACTCCAACACGTTTTGATTCCAATGGTATTCTTGTTAGATGAGTCAACTTTTAGAGTAAAACCCAATGAGTAAAAGGTAAAACAGAAATTGTGGAAAAGGATAACTTTCAAACGCTGCGAAAATCGAGAACGTGTCACCGTATTAATATCGACGGTTTATCAAATACCTTAAGGTAATCATTCAATTTGCATGAAAATCCTAGATTTGAGAATCTAACCATAACGACTAAATTCCTTTTCTTAATCACACGTGTAATACAGTGAAAGATAATACTTTCCTTTAGCAATTCTAAATGTGTGGACATATTGTTAAAACCTACAAATTTCTCATTTTCATATAATTAACAAGGAAGGGTCATTTCAGCATTATTTCCATGATATTTGTCCCTGCCAGCACCAGCCCCCTCTGGCCCCCTCATGGCCCCGCCTCATGAGGGGGCTATGGCGGGGCATTCATCTTTACGTAGTGTCCACAAAATGTAAAACGGAAAATTGTCTATGAGATGCAAAACGTAAAAAGTGGGGGATCGAAAATCAAAAAGTATGCAACATGGGAATAAGGAAAAAGCAACCGTCCTGGTGTAGCGCAACGTATTTACAAATAATTTCATCAAGAGAAGCATTCGAAAGTTTGCTATCCAAAAGGGAGGCCTTAAAAATGAGTAAATTTGAGGAAGGGAATGCCGGATCCAGGCAGTCTTGGCAATCAACAAACTGGCGGTAAACGATGCCTGTAGCCGACACAGATGTCAGTACGCACGGTCTATCGCCGACAAGTACCACATTGTCTGGAGATTGGGTCGATAAAAGATACCCTTTGTGTAATATGGCTTTGGAGCTGCGGGGCAACTGCAAAGACAGTGGCACTCCCTCATCGTCATCCAACAGCGTGGGACCTGTGGACAACTCAGGCAGACGCCTTTCACTAATGCGCCTGTACACCTGCGCGGCTACGTTTGTCGGTCCTTTAATGTAACTGCGGACGTTTTGCAGAAACGACTCAAAACGAAAAGCCGAGAAGTTATCTAACACTCCGAACCGCGATACATCTTCGTGAAGGTGGACCAGACAATGCACGTTGTAAACCAGATCAGCTGGATTGTACAGCTTGCCGAAGTCTTATACAAAGCCATTTAAAAGGATGCGTGCAAAGTCAATGCACGTAATGTGTAACCGCGGATGAGAAAATATATACATGGCAACAGACAACTTCAGGAAGTGCTGATAGCGCGCCTGGTCAGGAATATAAAACTGCCGGGCCGATGTAAAGGAGAAATTGCCGGAATTCGGCCGCCTTCCAATACTCCAGACAATCCAGAGTGCGGCACTTCCGAGCAAATTCTGCCGGTAGACAATTGCTGCACTTTTTAATCCGCGCATTGAGCGCCGCAAAAAACTTCTTCACTCCGAGGCGCCACATGTGCAGCAATTTACGCATTACTCCCAGGCATAGTAGGTGCATGTAGTCCATGGGAAAGCAGGCAACCATATCGATGGGTAACTCCTCGAATGGTGATATGCCCCTATGGTGCATGGCCTGCTTTCGCAACCGGAATGACATGTCGTCCCGAGGACGCCCACTATATGGCGGAAATGTCATCCGGTTAGCAATGGGAATTCCAACACGACAGCACCTACAGTGGTTTAGGTTAGCTAGATGAACAAACCTACCTATCGCATCCATAGTATCCGTTATGTGCCTTGACTTGGCGGATGTAGGAGCGGGCAGGGGCATCGCAAATTATATTGGCTAGCTCCACTTTTACAATATCCCCTGTACCTGGGAGTCGCAGGCCACCATCAAGAAGTCCTTTCAATTCGCAAACGCAATCATGAAGAAACTCGTCCACTGGTTCGGGTTTGCCGAAGCCGGAAAATACACCACCGGACGAAGGGTTCACCAATAACGGGGTGACTAATTCGCGCTAATATCGGCCAAAGGCATTGACCCGATCCTTTAAACAACTTCATCCCATCAATGTGCAATTAGATGCGCATTTCAGGAATTTCAGTCGTTTGACGACGGTTTACCTCATCAAGCAGAGCTCGCTCAATGCCCAGATGGACATAGTTCCCGTTGCTTAGGACCTTGTTGCTACAAGTTCTGGGAGTCTTCAAGAGCGTTCGCGAGTCCTTCGGGACTTCTGGGTGGTACGACCGGAGCATATCGAACAAAGCCTTCATCATAGACAGAGGCATTCGCGTGTTCAGGCATAATTCTTGTAAATCTGATAGAAAAGATTTTCCCCTTTTTTCCGTCACATGCTCTTGACTTCCTGCAAAATCTACACCCACTAATATTCTACATCGATGGAAAAACCTACCAGTGTAACCCTCAGCCGTTAATTTCGGCATTTCTAATTCAGGATAGTCGCTTCGCAAAGTAGACGCCGTTGGAACATTAACCAGTTGGGCAGCCTCCGTTGCGGCATAGTAGACCCTCTTTAGGCGCCGGATTCGCTTATAGGCAGTGCTCCGGTTGATTCCAAAATACTTACGCTTCATTTCTACTCAATCTCAACGACAAAAATGATAAACAAAGGCTCAAAGTGCACCTTTTCAGATGACTCTGCTACAACGGATATCTCATTGATATTGCTTAAATCAACAGGCAATTATTCAATGATACTACTAATTTACAGGTCAAAACTTACAAAATATCATAAAATATAGCAAAAGGGCAGTTCATTACATACCACAGTAACGTATGCACGTATACCACAGTAGACAGTATTAGCACTCACGACGAGAGGAACGCAGCTCACGTGGGAGATAAGTGCCGCAAAGTGACACACTTAAACAATTAAGAGCTTTATATCAGGATTGCCCAGATATGTAAAAAGCACAACTACCGAGGTCCAAAAGTACTTTTTGCTATTAAAAACAAATTTTAACCGAAAAATGCACGCTTATTCACGGAGTAATGCCTGTTAATGGTGCATTAAAGACGAGAAAACTTTGAGGGGGCTGGCCCCCTCATAGCCCCTTCTTGGCCCCCTTTCAAAAGGGGGCCAAGTGCTGGCAGGGGTATTACTCTGTTTACATTGACGCTTTTAAACCGCGTAGATTGAAGGCAGTCCTTAAAAAATCAGCTCACCTGTTGTCTAAAAATCTTTGGAGATTTACCAGGACTTGTACGCTTTCCTCGCGTTTGTTCAACCTACTGGCTAGGCAACGGTCGAACTTCGTGGGGAATCTCACATTTCAAAGAAGGGGACTTTATATAAGATCTTCCAACTTATTCAACCGTAATTTGAGTTTCCAACTCAAGTGTGATGCTTAATTTCCATCTTATATAGATTTTATTCAAAAAGTTCTCGATGGCCCTACGAGTTAGACACAAGACAGCCATGTGAGATTCTTCGGCAATGTTCACTAATCTCACACATTAACCAGTTCAAAACCGAGGAGTATATTCGTCTTCGTTGGCGTGGCCAAAGTGCAAATACTCCCCGAATTTCAGACGCAGGTGATGTCGACAAAACCTCTTTTGCATTTTACCTCTGTATACTATATCGAATTACCTACTTACAATGCAAAAGTAACCCTTTTGCTGTATTAAAATATATTTTGACTAGCTTGGCTGCTATGTTCATTTCCAGTATTTATAGACAGGGGGTTTAAAATACCCTTATTCGGACATAAATTAATGCAAGGCCCCATTGAATTTTCTTTTTATTGCAAGATCGCTCTTATTTGCACAGGCGGACATCTCCTCCGACAGGCCTCATTATAAGATCTGGAAACCGTCGGAAAACGTCATAACTTTATTTTCACAAACCAAGGTGGAAGGATCGTATTTTATCTTGCAATCAGGCCGATTTGGCGAGCATTACATCCACATGTCTTCAAGCGCTATTTAGAATTGTAGGATGAGCTTTCAAGCTCGTGGTTCGATTTGCAAAACCTTGATCTTAATAAATACTGAGTCGAAAGTTCGAATAGTGGAGATTTGCGAACCCAGCTTGGTGTAGGTTTGAACGAAAGTGGCAAACTCGTGGCTTGCTTAAGAAAATGTAGGCAAATATCATTCATGCAAAATTTGTTTAATAAGTTAACCATGGATAGTCAAAAACGTGATTTATCCGCTCGTTGGCAGCGTCACCTGCTGTACTGATTAGCTATCTGAAGTATTTTATGCTCGGAGTCACCAGCGTTGGGCTATTTTATTTAAAACATTGCAAGATTACTTCCAAAAGCCTTCATTTCTACGTCGGAAATGTTACACAGGAAGTGTTTTTAGTTGGCGTTCGGTTATTTTCTTTACCTGAACGACTTAATAAGCCTGTGGTTGTCTGGCTAGGTTTGCTGAACGAACTTTGTAACTACATGGATTTTACAATGCAAATAGCGTGGGTATTTTTCTGGCGAAGGTCCTCCGGTAGAAATGATGTTTACGTAAACTTCTTCCTGTTATTTGTTTTCTTTTCCCGGAGGATGCTTGCAGACAGAGCCATCTGCTGAATTTGCGGCTGTTGGCTACCCCGCATAAAGAGGGGTGGATGAGGCCAAATGGCGAGGCCAAGTGTTGGAATGTCATTCAGTCCACGATGTCCTCCGAAAAACAAACAACAAGAAGTAGTTTACTTCCACGATTGTCGCTGCAGCGTGTTCTACTCAAGATAGGAACCTATGCTGTTTGTGCTACGAAAGCAAGCAGTAATATTAAACAGTTTCAAAGAACTGAACGAAGAAGGACTCTCCAGATATGATAGTGGCTCAATCGACCTCCGTTTTTGCTCGACCCATAGGGCGGGGACATGTACTGACAGGGTATCTTATAGACAAGTTCTACTTCCCACTACGGCAATTAGGGCTTAAAACACCTAGTTTGATTTCAAGAAAAAATTTATGGAACACATATAGTATCCCATAAAACGTCGACTGGAGTCCTAAAATGTGTCTTCAATCCCGACAGGTCACTTTAATAAGATTGCAACATTAATTATCATATCAAATAATGTTAACGCACTCCCATCACAATAGGATGCCGACCTTCGAATGAGCTTCTTACTGACCTCCGAAGTAAACCACATTTGGCAAATCGTGAGTGATTTCTGATTATCCTCCGCCAGGATTACCAGTCTCCCAACCAGTGTCCCTTCCGGCATTTTCGATGGCCATTTGTGAACGAGTTTTTCCACTGTGTGTGGGTGATACTGGGTGTCCCAAAACGGGCTACGCGATAGATGAGCTGAACCAACACGGGGACCATAGCGGATTCTGGCAGGCGTTATCGCAATGCGCACCATAATAGATGCCGACATTTCCGGGTGCATTGGCAGCCTCAGACGTCGCGTACATTGGCATCCCTGTCGCCCCATCTTTTTTGTTGGTTAAAATCCTGATCATTTGCTGTGTGGACCAGGGGGTGTGGAATTTAGCGCCCTCCCCCGCTTACGGTCTACTTGATTCCGTTCTGACACCCTGGGCTAAGGGGGGGTAGGAGGAGAGAGTGCAGTAGATGCAATGCAAGTCTACTACGAATTCACGTGCAAGTCACCGTGCCTGCATCACCTTGCTGTGGAGAAAACGGTGGATATCGTCGGGCACGGCGGTTGAAATACGGGGTGGTTTGAGGGGAAGGGGGAGGGAAGTCGTAGTTGGGGGTGTGTGCTGGTGGGTGATTGGGGAGGATGGGGTGGTAACTATGAATAGACATTTGGTGGGGGGATGATATTCTGAAGCAGCAAGGACTCAGAAAAGTTCCATTCTGCTTGTCAAGCTTTTCCTGAGTCGCTAGAATAAAAGTACGCATTAATATAACTGGGTTAAATGACATCTTTCATATATTTTTGACACTCAAATTACCTTCTCTTCTTGACGAGCTACAGGAAGTTATAATGGAAGCTAGTAATTTATCCTCCGTTCTTATACTAAATCATTGTTCTGGGAAAATTTCTGTAAATTCATCGAGCGTGCAATTATCTAATATCCAATTTGGTCCGTGCGCAATAAACCATGATTTTTTGACTGTTGTATTCCACCCCACTTTTCCGGATCGACGGGTTATATTTCGCAACGTGCATAGTGCGAAATTCCACTGGTAGACGTGGCACGCTTCTTTTGCAGTAGTTAGTCGCTGTTTCTCGTGTTGAACGGTTACCTATAATGGCAGACCATCTTTCATGCATTGCTGTCATATTGGCGGAGGAAGCGGCGAAGCCGCGTCCAGTTTGCAGGAAAAGTGTTTTTACTTCCTTAGCTAGTGAGAAATCTGCTCGTTTGTCGCAACGTGGAAGAAGAAGCACAGGTAAAGCAACTGTCTCTGCCAAGAGATTCCGCAAAATCGATTTTTTCGGCATGTTCAAATGTCAACTGTTTTGCACACTTACTTCACGTCTGAAGACAACTTGGGGAACCAAGGTCCAAAATTTACAATAAAATTTATTCATCTTTCCCCAAGAGCATATTTCTTTCCAAATATATAAAAACGTATTTTTTGGAAGTCAACACATTCAGGATGGCCTATGTGCCCTTGTCAGGTCTAAAAATGAGCAAGTCTTCCGTAAATAGCCGCTTTTACTTATTTGTTTCCGCCTTTGATATGGTGCCCTTTAGGAGATTTCATTGGAAAATGCACAGTACATGAAAAATGGAGGGGTTTCATTTCGGAAATCAACTCTCAGTTACCTATCGCAGAGGACGTACGTGTGTTATGTACAGGCCAGAAATCTGTCCACAAAAACAACGTCACTTGATTCAACTTTTCCAACAATATAGTCTGCCACTAATTGGCCAAGAGACAACGGGTCACGCTCCGTACGTATGCTGTTAGCATAGTGAAATTTTTCAACAGAGCATTCTGAGGAAATCAGAGCCGTCAATTTCGAATATCACGAACCTCAGTTGCAGCGCTTGCAGACACATTTTCGAGTGCATCCTTAGACATTGTAATCAGTTAATGTAGTAAAGCGGAGTGCTTGTCAGCAACGCCTATGTAGACCTCAAAGGTGATAGAGGAAAGCTGCTTTATTCGCAATCCGATTATGGAAGATAAGGCTAATTTTCAAATGAATGGCTCTGAAAGCAAAACGTCCACTTTGGGGCAGAGAGAATTCCAATGTAATCCGCCACTGAGGAGTGTCAATTATCTAAGTCACCGTTTGGCCCCGCTTAACGTCCAAAGCCATAAGTGTGCCTTCACTTTCGAGTACAAAGAGGGCAATACCTTAACCATTGTCGGCGTACGCGACTGAAAAATACAAGCAACAAGGAAAGATAAGTGGTCACATGAGTCGAACTAATGATGCACATACTAATAGTTTATAATTTTGTGAAATTAATGCTTCCTTTGTCTCCTCCCTCATGCATTTTTTTCTGTGGCTGCCGAAAGGTTCGGGTGTATGTCGATAAGCTTGGGATCATCCGGCACCTTAACGAAAGCGTTCAGGGAGAAAATCAAAAGGTGCTATGGAAAATCTTGCAGTGTCCAGAATTGCAAGGCAGCAAATGTGGGTCGTTTATGTGGCATCATTCTTATTAGATAGTGGAAAATCTCGTAATATGTGCTTTATACTAAAAGGAAACTTAATTATAAAAGTGCATTCAAGTGTTTTTGGCGGAAAGAATTATTTGTTTCCCTGCGCACTCATCGTAAGCGAATTCACCTGATCAGGGGTTTTAGAGGACCTTTTGAACCGTGAGAAAATTATTTGAGTCGAAGCATATAAGACAGCCCAGTGGCCGCGCGATATCCTTAAACATTGTAGAATGAGGAAGATAGCTTAAGAGAGTACAGAGGTCGACGTTTCTGTGGATCGCTGTTTGCCCATCCTTTGCTCAACAGCTAAAACCGTCACTAAGCTTTACACTCTATAAGCCAAGTTCGGGTCGTAGCTGAAGTTCTTGAGAGGCAGTTTATCAAGTGTACACTGCAATGGCAAAATGGACCTAAACAACGCCCAGATTGAGGAAGCAAAGTTCAGCAATCGCACCTTATTGATTATTCATCCCCACGCCTGTATATTAAAGCAGCGAAGTTAAAGCAGTCAGTGGACAACATTCATGTTGGAGAGGGTTAAGGATGTTCAGACGGCTCGAGATACTTAGTCTAAGTATGTTAAGGGTATAGGGAGTTGGAGGGGGAGCAGGGAGGGATCTGTCAGTGTTATGCTTATGATTTTTCGCCGTAGGACGATCCCGAAGGATGTGGGAACAAACGAGCTGGGCTAACCTTGGGCCAGAGGAGCTTGGAGGTCTGTACAAACGCCTTCTGTGAGTAAAAAGCTGTTTCGGGTAACCGTTTGGCCACTGCGTGGTCCCAAGCAATCGCTGACACGGAGCTTTGAGTGTCTCCCGGCACTCGGAATGCCTGCTTGACATCTACACAGTGGC